ATATTATATAATTATATTTTTTAAATGAATCTATTTTTTAAATATTGGTTTTAAATTAGATTTGAATTTAATTGAATAATATCAAAATTATTATTGTAAAAAGTATTATTTATCCAATATTTTGATTATTTTTCTCTCAAGATGTATATTGGATAACTTAGATTAACATTAGATAATATTCAATTCATATTAGATTTATATTAGATTTCAATTTTTTCTTATTTTTTCTTATTTTGTAAAAATAAATAATATTTTTTCTCAATTAAAATCTTGTTTTAATAATAAAATAAATTTTTTTTAAAAAGATTAATATTGGCAAAAGTCATTAAACTATTTATTTCTAAATTATTTATTTTTAGTTAGCAGTAAATATTTATAAACACCTGTTCAAGAAATTTTTCTCTATCCTTAATGGGTAATAAAATAACAGCCAATGTAGCTATTATATGATCTAAAAATGGATCATTTAATGAAGATATGCCTAATTTTCCATGTTGTTGTGATATTGGAGTTTGAACATAACTGCGAGCCCAATTCATTACTCCACCAGGACATCTCAAGATATGGTTCAATATAAATAAATGATCTTGCCAAGTTGCTACTCTCAATAAGATTGCTATTAATCGTGTAAGCCATTCTCTAGTATCTGTTACAAATTTACCATCTTTTAATAATTTTCTTTGAAAATTGAATAATATAGTTATGCACATTCTAATTTCCACTAATTGTGGAATTGTTTGAGAAGGTACATGTATTGGTAATAAATTTACGGGTGCATTATGAGGAAGATTTATAAATTCTTTACAAGATATGCAGACTCTTTGAATATAATACTCAATTTGAAATTTTAACATTTCTGCTTCATAACAATATAATGCTTGAGTATTGTGTAATAGATCTTTTATTGTTGATAAATTTCGAGTTAATGCAGCTAATGTCTGCTGATTAAAACGTGCAATATAATATTCATGTGTAGCAACAACAGGATTTCCATCTTGACATTCTCCTGTTTCTTTAATACAGGCTTTATCTAAACACCATAATTGTTTTTGCATTTCTCTACAAGATTTTTTTAAAATTTCCAATTCATGAGAATTGATAATTAAATTATTTCTTACACGAAGATAATTCATTAAAAGCTCATGTAATCTATGTTGCTGTCTAATTGCATTACTTCTAAGTTGTATTTCTGCAAATTCTGAAATAAACATATCAATCCATGCTAATTCCTGATTGAAATATAATGATGTTAATTGGCTCTCTGTAAATGGTATAATTTCTTTAAAAGAAGTATGTATATCATCTACTTGATTTATGATAGAATCTGATTGATTTTTTGTCCGTCTATCGTATATAAAGTTCTTTGAATTTGATATATTTGAATCTTGAGATAAATTTGGTGTTATACTTTCATTATTAAAGCCATCAGATGTATTATCTATTAAATCTATTGTAGAAATCGATGTTATAACTTCTTCCACTTTCTCATTTAAATTATTCCATGCTGATGTTAAACTATTTTCAGTTTCATTATTAATTTTGGTCTAAAATTTATTAAAAAATATATTATAATTATAATATGTTTAAAATATATTTAAATATAAAAAATAATATTCAAATTAAACATTTTCTCAAAATCGTTTTTAAAATTTTATGAATCATTTCTTTATGCAAAATTGTATTACTATCATTAATTTTTTTTAAATAATAAGTTACTATAAAAAATTCTTTGAATATAATTTTAATTAATATTATAATTTTGATATATTGATTGATTTATAATATTGATAATTTTCTTAATAAATTTAAATAAAAAAAATTAAATACTTTGTCATTTATAGTTTGTAATCCTTCTGTTTCTTCTGAAACTATTTGAACTGATTGTTTTTCATAGAGTTCAGTGTCAATTGCAGCTGAATGTAATTCACTTTCCATATTTTCAACACCTTCTCCTTTTGGATAATTTGTAGGAGATTCTTCGAGAACACATTCAAATTCTTCCAATGTTGGAACATCTGGTATCTGTTGTTCCATAGAAAACTTGGATTTTTCTTCTCTTTTTTTCTAAAAGTATATATTTTTTAAATATAATTTTTAATGTTATAAAATAACAAATTTAAAAAAAAATTTTTATATGTTATATATATACATGTTAAACATATTTAAGTTTTTATAAATTATAACCTAAACTTATATTATTAATAAAAATAAATATTTTAAAATCTATATATTTATGATGATGATTTAAATTCTACTATTAAACAATATTTATTATTTATTATATGATACTAATGTAATATTATATACTATATAAAGATATAAAAGTAAATTTTTTTTTTTTATGAAAAATAAAATATCTTAAATCATTGATTAAAGACAAAATAATAAGACAAAAAATAATAATTAATCAATATGATTACATAAAAATATTAAATAAAAAAATTAAAAAAAAATATTAAAAAATAAATATTCACCTTTCGTTGTTTTGGTACTTCCATTTTATATAAACAATAAATTTTGTGTAAATTTCTTTTATATATAAATAATGTTGAATTTATCACATAGCTTTAATATACAAAATATGAAAAATATAAGAATTATATTTATTACACAATAACAAATTTTCACAATACTATTCTGAAATGTTTCTGAATATTAATATTACTGATTGATTACGCATTCTCTATTTCTTGCGTAACCTATCATCTGTCAAAATATACAATTACAATTTCAGTTTGGCAGTTTTCATATTACAATTATTTAATACTAATTTTTTATTTAAAAAATTAATTTAATAAATTAATATTACTAAAACTTGCATAAAAAAAATTCTGCGTAATGATTAGTATGCAATAGCAGACATAATTTTTTTGTTTATCGATAGAGTTACATGCAAATAAAGTGCTGCCAGCTATTTTAAAATCATAGGTGGTACAGACATATAGAATAGACATTATAGAATTCTTTTTTTATGAGAATAATCTATAGATAATATATAAAATAAACATGCAATATTTTTTCATGCCACAGAAATCATAAATCACTAAGAATATTATCATTTATCATTTTTATGCGATATTATCAGTATAAAATAAAATTATATATTACAATTAGTGATTGAAATTAAAATTAAATTTTAGAATTTTTAAAAAATTTATAAATTTAGAATAAATAACATATAAATTTAAATATTTTATATTGCAAAAAAATATAGAATTCTATATTTTTGTAAGTAATATATTTATTTGTTCATTATTATGTATATTAATGAATATGTTATGTGTTTCATATATGTATATATGAAAATTAATATTGAAAGTTATTTGATCGAAAGTTAAATATTAAATTTTTTTCACATTAATATATATTTCAAAAAACAGCATTTACATTTTATGAATGATGGAATTGATCCA